GGACTTCTAGCCTTAAGACGACGACCCGCCCAGTGCCGCACTATGGCCTAAAAGATTTTGCATGGATTTTGCGCGCACTTTCGGGCGTTCTAAAAGCCAGCCCTGGGCCTCCTAGGCCACGTTTCGGAGCGAGTTCCGGCCGGAGCCGGGAAGAAGGACTTACCCTATGAACGAAACAGCCAGAGACTACACCGTAACATGGCGCAGTTTTGCAACATGGATACAAGAGAGAGGACCTTCAGGTTCCCCTTCAAGCCCCCTTCAAGTCCCCCTTCAAGCCCCCTTCAAGCCCCCCTTAAAGCCCCCTTGAAGCCCCCCTTCAAGCCCCCCTTAAGGGGTTCACCCTTAAGCCCCCCCTTGAAGCCCCCCTTGAAGCCCCCCTTGAAGCCCCCTTCGAAGACCCTTGAAAGGGTCCTCCCCCTTAAGGGGGTCTTAAGAGTGGCTTGAAGGGGGGGCTTAAGTCCCCCCTTCGTCCGAAGGCGTGGGGCCCATACTGGATGAAGGGGTCAAAGGCATTGGCTTTGCAGGCATATCAGTGGCGATCAGTCTGTCGAAGAGACTTCTGATCCCGACGTTCCAGAAAGCCATGTTTGAGTGGCGTCGCCAAGAAGTACAGCAAAGCTTGTCTTGAGGCGCTTCAATGTTGGAGAGCGTGAGCTCTTTCTTCCAATCAGAGCGTGACAGCTGGTTGAACCAGTGCATGTCTGAGGACAGGCTCGACAGTGTAGTAGCCATGCTAGTTGCTTATATATGTCAAAGGTGGTATCTCAGCAGCCGACCTCTCTGTCGCATGGTGCAGCTGGAGATTGTAAGAGAGCTGGTTTCTCCTGCGAAGATTGCAAGAACGCCGGCTACAATGCTGAGAGCTGCTGAAATGGCTTTTCATGGACTCGTCGAGACCGCTAGAAACTGCAAGGAAAGTGGCTTCACCCGTCAGGATTGCAAAGCAGCGGGCTTCTGGGCGACAGAATGCCGTGTCGCGAGCTTCTCTGTAAGTGAGTGCCGACGTGCAAGCTTCACGCTTGGTGAGTGCAAAGCTGCGGGCTGCTACTCTGCCGAGAAGAGTAAAGTTGCGGGTTGCTCTGCGGAGGAGTGCCAGCTTGCCGGATATTCATCCAGCCAACTGAAGCCAGCTGGCTTTTCGGCCGCTTACCTCAAAAAAAGCGAAATTTCCGGCCGCCGAGCTTCGCAAAGCCGGCTTCACAGTGCAGGACTTCAAGAGTGCAGGGTACTCTGCCGCTGATTGCAAAGAGGCAGGTTTCTCAAGGATGCGTGTGGCGGTGTCTATCCGGACAATGAGCTACAAAAAGCTGGTTTCACACGTGCGCTGTTGGATCGTTTAGGACTTCGCCGTTCGCCTTAAAGCATGAGCATCGCAAGATCGCCATGCCCAGACTTTGCGCCAGCAGCCCAAAGGGCTCTGTGCGAGCCAAGCCCAAATCCGGACGAGTGCTGGGAATGAGAACACGCATGAACGCGGCACTTCAGGTTGTCGGCCTAGGATGGGCACGCAATATTGGTGATGAGCTCTGGGATTTCATTTAATTTGGACATACTGAACTCCTGCAACGTGTCAACGCCAGAAACAAGAATCAGGATCAGTTCCTTGGACCTGGTGAGGGACTTCAAGGGCTTGAACGGCTTCAAGAGCATTAAATAAATGGCTTTCAACTTTAGAGCAAAGCTTGATAGGCTCTCTGGTCAACAAGCGCCGTTCTTGTTCTCAGAAATGATTGAGTTTCTGCGCGTTGAAGGTTTGAACCGGCATAGCGATTTCTTCGCCGGAAAAACGTCTCAACCGGAAAAACGTGTCAACCCGTCATACATCGCCAATTTCGTCACAAGACGATGTATATCAAGTCCTAAAATCCAAATTTTCAGTGTTTGGTGCATGTGGACTCGCTTATCTCGCGTTCCGTGCCGCCTTGGAATCGCATCACCACCGCGATAGGAGTAACCTCATGGCTGTCTTCATGCTCTTCAGTTTCAAGCATTGTGCAGAAATTTTCGACATCGTGACAAAGCAGCAGCCAGCAGCAGTCAGCAGCAGTGAGCAGCAGCAGGCAGCTTCAGGCAGCTGCACTCACAGCGCTCTCTACTCAGTTCATGCATCGTGGTGGGCATGGCGACGATGTCAGCGGCATGGCCTCATTTCGTGTGCAGCGCCGAGAATTGCAGTTGCGCTGTCGTTTTGTAAGTGCTTTCGGGTTTGAATGTTCTTCACGCAGGCCGCGTGTAGAGCTGGATGTCGAATTGAAGACCCTTGCGGATCAGATGGATCAGGCTCGCACCGGGTGCAGAACGTCCAAGACTCGTATTGCCGAAGCCGGTAACTGCCATACTGGCTGTCGGCAGCATTTTGTGATTGGTGCCCTTTGCATCCTGTTCTGGCATCAAGCAGGGGTAGCCTGTTGCGGTTTTTGTCCTGAGACAACGACACATGTCCGAAGCCCTGGAGTGGCATCTTTGATTGCCGTACCAGGTATTCCGGCGAATCAGCAGGATGGAGCCGTGTGTGACGGCCATCGAGCTTAAACTGGAGGAGCACACTTGAGTGACAGATATAATGGGTCGTTTGTTGCTTGAAGTGTGTTGGTTTCAGCACGACTGCAACAACTTTTAATCTGTTGAGCACAACATCCTTCAGACGGTCGGGAGGTGGATGGGAAAGGGATGAGGACAAGGATGCACAGAACGCGAGCTGTGTCTTGGATTCCGTCTGAGGATAATGGCAAGGGATGAGGGTCAGGATTAGAGCAGGATGAGATTGACTGCCGTGGGTTGCGACCGCGATGGCAAAAGACAAGGTGAAGATTGGTGCTCGGGGAGGGAGTGAGGGAAGGAGAGGGGAGGCAGGAAGGGCAGGGAGGGGAGAGCTTCATGGTGATACACTACATGGATGTTGACAATCGCCATCCTTCGCACGGGTTTCGATGGAGCTATTTATAAGGCGTAGTTCATGCAACAATTGAAGCCGTGCGGCAGGAAGTCATCGATCGATGTGGTGCTTTGCTCAACGTCTGAGGTGCATGCCGCATGCTGCTAGTACTGCCCACAGCAGTTCACGTACATGCTTACAGCTCTCGGAGTTGTGATCTGGCAGCAGAATGCTTGTTCCATTCCAGCAACACATGAAGACCAGGTATTGAGAGTCCTCAGGTGTGTCAGTCTGCTTTGTCAATGGGTGTGGGCCAAGGTGGCGATTCGAAGGCAAGGCTTCCGTCAATTTCTGCATCGCCCATGCACCATCACAGCAAACTTGCGGTAATAGTTTTCTGGCCAGGTGGGTGCTCTGGCAACGCAGGCCAAGGAATTGAATCAGTCAGAAAGTTTGGGTTGCGAGTGGTTCCAGCTGACCGCTGGCCTGAGTTGGTTAAAGCTGATAGCATGCAAGTTGCAAGAGGCAGAGCTGGCGGCCGCCGAAATGCGGATTGGTCGTCAGCTTGCAAATGAAGTTATCGAGATCAACATGGAGTTAGAGGCCAGCTCTGCACCCACTGCAACCAAGCAGTTCCAGTAGGCTCGTTCACAGCAGGAGTTGCGGCATGTCGTCGCAGACAAGGCAACGGTGGAAGGCCCGCCTGTAAACAGATTGTGGTTGACGTCCTTACGATCTACGTTCATAGGCTTGCGGTGCGGCACGAAGCGTTGACGATGTCCCATCCGTTGTAATCGGTATCTGGCGATGTTTGTGGAGGAATGTTGTGCAGCGGCAGTGTCGCTGAACGGATTTAATGTAAGTGCTGCACTTTGCCGGATCACATCCAGCCAGGCTTGAAGACAGAGCATTCCTCGCGCTTTTATGAGTTGGACAACTCTGTGGCGGAACTGAGCAAAGGCCATTGCTCGAGTGGCCATTGCCGCCAATACAGCACGCAAAGCTCATTATGCCATGACGTTCCTGTATGCAGGTCTCAAGGAGATGTCGTCGGAGTTGCAGGCTGAAGAGGGTGCGGGTCCGGTATAGCCGCTGCTCCAGGAGCCTTGCAAGGGGCTGAAGTGCAATGGCGATGGACGGCCTTTACATTTTTGTGCCAGCTTGGACGGCTAGTGCTCGTTCCCGGCAGGCTTCTGTCGAGCAGTCGCGACAGACGTTCGCCACCCAAGCGGACCACCGTCAGTCATGCCCCTTGCACTGAAGCTTGTTTTCGCAAAGGCAGAACCCTGTTGCCTTCGTTCTGTTCTTGAGCTGACTGACGGCAAGACATAAGATCAATGCCAATGCGACCGCTACAGGTCAGGGAATGGAACAGGAGGAACTCCACATGCACTGTTTTGGTTGTAAGCCAGTTTGAAACGGGCTGATGATGCCGATGCATCACGGCTGCTGTCTGGTGCTTATAGGCTTAGAGTCCCGCTTCACCAGGACGCGGGATCATGCTACACTCGAGCATTGGACATAAACTCCACAAGAAGGCCGCAATGTGTCCGAGGTGAGCAGCACGCACGAGCTGCTGCTGAGCTGGCAAAGCGTGCCGGCGAGGCAGCCACGTCCCTGCAGGCCGCCGGAGATGGGAACCTTGCATGTGCGATTATTGCGTGTGCGAGTATGTCGGAGTCTCTCTTTTCTCAGAGCATGTCACAATTTTTTCATTGCAAACGCTCGCGGGCACTAGATAGACAGAGCACTTCCAAGATTTTTTGAAGGGACCACTTTGCATTCACCGCCACGGCCCTTCCTTTGAAGGCCCTGGAGGAGGCTCGGGTGCTGGTGGCGGAGTCCGTCGCCGCGTGCGAGGGGCGTGTGGGCCAGCTGGAGTGCAATGGCCAGGCTAGGCGTCCTTGTCAACCCAAGGTTTCTAGTTTCTTGTCGCCTAGTGTTCATCCCACAGTTTGGGGAAGGTTCACGAGCAGTGCATTGACGGCCTGCAAACGGACTTGGCCGGCCACGAGAAGCGTTGCTGGGAGGCTTTTGCTTCCAAGACAACGGTGCAGCAGGCCGGGTCACGAGTTCTGCACAAGTATGGCCCTGTTCTTCACTCGAGCGTGAGCAGTGTGTGCAGCCCAGTCTGCAGGCCTTGTCAGTGGCCTCCGAAGCCCATACGAAGCTGGATTTTGCCATGATGGATCGTGCCCTGTCGGTTTACGGCAGAGGCAGAAGGCATCTTACAGGCTGCCCTTGTGACGGCTGGATTCCTGAGGTGCCACCCTTCGCCGGACGATGACGGAGGAGTATTCTTTGCTAAGACCTTGGTGTGCGTGCAAAAGGGTCAGCAGTGCAATGATGAGATATGATGAGTCCATGGTCGGAGAATGGAGCCACCGCATATTTTCCGCGCTGCCAGCTACGGCCGGATCTTCCAAAGCTCATCCATGGCTTTGCAGTCGGTTTGATGTGAACGGCAGGAGTTTGACATGCTGAAGAAGACCATCTTTCGCCAGCAGAAAGCCTTCCGGGACATGGATGAAGCCGTGGACTGCCCCTTGACCCAAGCTACGACGCTGGTGCTCGGTACAACGTGTGGTTTCGGAAGTTTCCGAGGTGTGAACGAACATAAACAGCTGATCAAGCGATTTCGGGAAGAGCTACGCCAGCAGGATAAGCGACTTGAGGCAAGTTGAGAGTCATGTGTCTTGGAGTAGAGAAGTGCGCACCAGTCACACCTGTGCCTTTCACCAGAGCATTGGCAGGATTTCGCAAAACGTCTGGATTTGCAAGACCGAAATTTCCACCAATTGGCTGCAGAGCATCAGCACGACGTTGACCACTTGGAGGACAGATTCTTTGTTCTCGATGTGGGCGGGGTTCGTCCTTCTGGCCTTTGGCTGTGGTCTTTACATGGGTTTCAGTTTTGAATAAAGTTCCCGAGGCAGCCGGCAAACATGTAAGGCCACCTACATGTAATGCCGCTGGCCTGGGCTGGTTTGGAAGGCATGAGCAAGAGAATTTGGCATTTTCCGCGCTGGGTCGGATAGCAAGCGAAATGAGAACAGAGGTTTCAAGTTGTCCAGATTGTTCTTTGCTAGCTGGAAGGACGTTTGTGGAAGCCTGCAGCGAAGCTTCAATGCCTTGGCCCTGGCACCGATAGGAAGCTTTTGCATCCATGCTTTCTTCAGGTGAGCTTACATGTTCTTCCAACTCAAGAGCAGGTTTGATATGAAGTCGAAAGGTCCATGGAGTTGTCAGGTCAACCTTTAGCACCATGAGCCTGGAGAGACAGGAAGGAGGTAGGCTAAACTTCAGATGTGGAGTTGCAGCAGAAGGTGCACAAAAGTGCCCTTAACACCTGCTCGCCGAGGACCAAGTATCACAATGCCAGGCGACTGCCGAGTCAATGAGCCAATCCAGTACCAGGCGATACGTCATCCGATATCCCATTAGAAGAAGGAAGGCGGAAGCCACGGATCGGTTGCAGGATCTCCTTGGATCAAATGGACAAGAGCTTGGCTCTGAGGCGTTTTGTAGAAGCAGCGTGCTAGTATTGCCGTCTGCGCACCTGCAAGCGTCCTGCGACAGCCTGTGCAGGCAGTCGCTGGACAAGTTGCATGAAGATCACGAGCATCTTAAAAATGCGGTGCTTGGTGCAGACGTGGCCAGTTCCCGAGCTGGTATGAGAACGGCAACATGTTTTGCAGGAGAACTAAGCTCTATCTGGAGGCAGTCAAGACGGCAAGGGTGAGATAGTTTCGGCAATCTTCTCAACGTGCAGTGTTGCTGATAGCCCCTATTGGCTTCCCTTGGCTTTCCATAAGCGTTCCAGCTAACCGCGCGCAGACATCACTAACGCCGCGCATGGTTTACTAACACCGCGCACTTGCCACAGTTGCCGTGCCTGATTCGCTGTTGCTCAAGCAGCCACGGTTCCCTCCCGAAACGGGGTGGCCTCGTTATGCTTTCTGGGTTGCCAAGCCTTCCATGTAGCCTGAGCCGACTCCCCGAGTAATTGTTCGGCCTCTCGGGCACCCTCTGCGCACACTCCGCGAACTCTTCGCGCACCCTCTGCGAACACTCCGCGAACTCTTCGCGCACCCTCATCTGGAAGCGAACCCTCCGCGAAGCCTCCGCGAAGCCTCCGCGAAGCCTCCGCGAAGCCTCCGCGAAGCCTCCGCGAAGCCTCCGCGAAGCCTCCGCGAAGCCTCCGCGAAGCCTCCGCGAAGCCTCTGCGAAGCCTCCGCGAACCCTCCGCGAACCCTCCGCGAACCCTCCGCGAAGCCTCCGCGAAGCCTCCGCGAAGCCTCCGCGAAGCCTCCGCGAAGCCTCCGCGAAGCCTCGCGAAGCCTCCGCGAACCCTCCGCGAACCCTCCGCGAACCCTCATGTGTTTTCCGCGCCGTTTGCGCGCGCTCTCGGCTTTCCATGCTGCGTTTGTTTTCACTGTCATCACTCATCACTGTGATTCCCAGCTGGGGTAGTTTCGGTTGCGAGCCGGACAAGCCATGACGGCGGCTGCTTGCCTAGTAATTTTCTCGTGGAAGTGTGAGCCCTACTCGTGACTAGGGATATGAAAGGCACCGGTCTGAGGGATGTCTTCGGGAGATCCCGGGGCTCATGCAGCAGCCGAAAATTGAAAGGACGGTGCTGAGTTTCCTCGATGTGTGCTCTTAGACCAGTGCACGGCTCCTCTGCCTCTGCCTTGACATCTGGTGCATTCGCGATTGTTGAGGCTCCGGAGCAGGCAGATGCTGTGACGCCGGCGGAGTGAATGTTCAGAGGAGTTTGGAGAAGGATCGCCGATGTACCTACAGTGTCCAATGGCAAAGGACTCCGTTGGACTCATGACCTTGCTTCCGAAGTGAAGCCTGCCTGATTTGACAGGCCTGTGGCCATCTAGATGCATGATGCTCAATACGAGCACTTTGCACCGTGAGCTCCACTTCAGTTGCACGAAGTAAGCTTCAGAGCTTTCTGCTCCTTGGCAGAAAGTGAGTGACTGGTGGGAGCTGATCCTGAGCCTTCCGCCGTCAGATCTTGCACTCGAAGCACAGCAGCCTGAAACCTTTACCATGACGACTTGCAGCAGAAATGAGACACTCACAAGCACAGCCATCGGATCAGCCGGTACGTAAACACACGGAGCAGCCGTTGAGGACCTGTAGCCCTTCAATGCAAGGTACTGCAAGCTTGCAGGCAGTCAAGCAATTAGTACCACATCTTGCACAGAAGGATCATGCCGGATGCTTGCGTAGCGATGGATGCTGCGGTAGCCTCCACGTGTTTCGCGTGCTACAGAGCGGTTTCGATTGGGCACGCTTGTTTGGGATTTCTGTCAAGTCGCCCCTGCACCTTACATTTACCATGCAAGCTGTGGCTGGTCGGTGGGTCGTGCCCCAAGAGTGTGAAGCCAGGTGGATGTGGCGGTCAAGAGGGTCATGGATCATGCAGCACCTTGCCAGATGTGTTAGTTGTGCAAGAGCGTTCAACCTGGGCTTGCGAGTCCCAGGACTTCGCCAGCAAGTTCAAGCATCCCGTGAAGTTCAACGGCTTCGGCCTCAGCCGCTAGAAATCGCGCTTAAACCGCTTTTGAAGTGGTGAAAGAGTGACGAGAGGCACGGACTTCGTCGAAGAGCGGCTGACGGCGGAGCAGCAGCTGGCCGAGGTGCCGCGGCCTTCTCTGCCTTGCGGATAGGCTGCGACTGGGTTGTTTGTAAGAGCTAGAGTTCTCCGGGTCACTGTAGGTGCTCCTGTGCGCACCAGATTCCGGTTTTTGGAAGGGGGGGAGCCAGAAAATGTATTGGTACCAGCAAGAAGCCGCACGGATCAAGGCAAGCAGGCTCGGCAGAAACACAAGTGTGTTTAATTATCTGCGAAGAGAAGAAGCTGGCAGGTCACACGCAGTGCCAGCCAGCAAATGCACGTCTTCCTCGAGCGATATGGCTCTTTGCTCTCGGCAGAGGTCCCTGCGTTGCGGGATGTTCACGTGCGTGGAGCTTCATGTTTTGAACACACAAACCTGTGTTGCAAAACCTGCACTGCGCCTTCGGAGGATCTGCGGGCTCTGGCAGGGTGTCCTGCGGCAGAGACTGCAGAGGCAGTGGGTCCAACGTCCTGTTGCCTGGCGTTCTTGCACCCCCATAGTGCGGATAGGGTCGGTGTCCCTTCCAGTCAAAGCAGATGCATCTGGTGGCTCACATTCCCTCCATATATGTTCCTGCCATGTTTTTGGGGTAAGCTTTGCAGCAGCTGCTATGCGAGCCTTACTGAACCGAATGCTAAAACGGAGTAGAAACATACAGCTTTGCGCTGACCTTCTCCGAGATACAAAAAAACTCGCGGTTGCTTCCGTGTCCCGCATCTTGAGAGAAGGACAACGAAGCACCACTGGTAAACTAGTAGCTAGTGCTTGTTCAAGCTACATACTTCTAGCACTATGGCATGATCGAAACGCTGGGAAAGCCCAGTCGTAGGGACATTTTTCCCTGTAACATGGCTGCCATGGGCTGTGCTGTGGTGTCATGGAGGGACAGCTCCTGGGATTGAAGAGCCTAGCGGCCAAACTGAAGCCTTTGGTTGTTTGATTGCCCAGTCGCCTCACGCAGTGGTGTCGGTGACCGAGGGGTGTGGCGAACCGCTTCGAGGGACGCTGCGACCTGGTCCTGCTGGGCTGGAGCGGTCTCTGCCGTGGCACGTGGGAAGCTGTCGGCCGTCCAACTTTAGCAAAACAGGACAGCCTTCATTGTGTTGAACTTGGCCTCCGACTACTTCTGGACCCGGGGAAGCTCAGAGGCACGGGTGGAAGCATGAGACCGAGCAAGGCTTGGCTTGCGGCTATTTGTGGCTCAGGCTGAGGATGTCCCCACAGTCGGCTCCATGGGTATGGGCACTGCAGACATCTACATGGGGCCCGGGCCGCAGACTTCCAAGGTAGCACCTTCTGTGTGTGGATGGGACTAGATCAGGGTTTACAGCAAAGAAGTGACGATTTGAATCGGTGCCCTTCAGCTTGTCCACCAGGGTTTTGTACGACTGTCGTATTCACAGGCCCACGGGCCATGGCAGTGAGATCATGCGCACATCTTCCACTGGCTGTGGCCTGCCTTGGCACAAGGACTTACACTCTCGAGCGCGGGCCTTGGCGGTGTAGCGGGTCAGCTTTGTGTGCCGTACTGACAGCTTCCCAGATCCAACCGCTGAAACTTCGTGGCTCTGCCCTAGGCGCTTCTCAGGAACAATCGCGCACATCGCAAGTGTAAGTTTGTAATGACTTCGGCTTGGGCAGTTGTTGGTATGCACCTGTATGAAAGACTGCTTAAACAGCCAGTGCACGGCCTAGTTTGCGTGTCATGCCATGACTGCGACGAAGCGGTTCCGTTTGCACCGCAAGTCTCCGCCACCTCATGGGCCCTGGGTGCAGTGGTCCCCCATCAAGAAACATTTCGGTGCAGTGGTGTGCAATCTCAGATCGGAGGACTGGCGGGGTGCTGGACTGAATCCGGAGCCTCAGGTCATGGTTTGTTGCAGAATCTCAGGACCTCCGCTGCCCCGTTCGGCGCAGTGCACTTGCACGGCTCCTGGCGGCACGTGGCGGTCTCCTGGCACTCCGGGGACTTCATGGGCTTCAGGCGCAGGAGCCGCGTGTCACAAACATCTCGAGACTCCTCAGGTATTCTTAGCCGTTGCACACAACCAGCGCTTAGGAGAGGTAATTATGCCTGCAGCACTGCAGCACCGGAAACTCGACTACCATGCCCACCTGAACCCCATCGATGTAAATTTCCATGAACGGTCCAAACCTCCGAAGCTCCAACATCATACATGTCGACAGATCGAAACGAGAATTTGGCAAAGTGGTAGTGGTGCAAAGAAGAGGAGGAGATGCGTTTGCAGAGTTCGACTTTCTCTCTGCGTCTTAGGCTCGTGGAGCTGACCAGCGCCTTTGGAGCGTGCGAGCCGCAGCTCGCCGCGCAGCGGAGCCGCGCTCAAGTTCCCGGCACCCACAATGGGGCCGTGATGAGGACATCCCAACCTTCCCTTCCCGACCCCGAAGCCCATAGAAAGATTGTAAAGCCCCTTTTCTAGCTTGAGTTCCGAAGAGCAGGTTTCCAGATGTTTATGTCTCTCGTTACGCTTTTCGGATCTGAAGGCTTCTATTAGGATTTGCCTGACATGTAAGTGTGCCAACGGTTTGGATCTTTTCATTGGAGCGTTGCATGCTTCCCGGGTTGACGGGTGTTGGATTATTGCTATGATGTGGCGATTGCTCGGTTCTTGAATGTTCTCGACACGAAAGTTCAAGGTTTCAAGGGTGTACTTCAGAAGTTGGCCTTTGCTCCGTGTGACATGCAGCGTGTACAGGGAGAAATCAACTACGAAGGAAGGACTTCGTCACTGAAGCCTCGCAACGCGTTGGAGCACAGGATCGGCAACAGTCGCGACCCCAACACGGGCGAGCTCAATGCGTCATTTACAATCAGCGCGCAGCTTCCGAGGACATCGGAGGGGCATTCAGGTCCGTAGAGAGCTCCTCAGGAAGCTTGCGAGATTGGACAGCTCCTGCGGGTGGAGGCCGTAGCCCATCACCTAATGCTCAGTCGTTCTCGCCTTGTCACTGCTGTTGGTAGCGGCCCGAAATACATTTGCAGTCTTCTCGCTGCCATTCTTTCCGATCACCGTTGTCTACCCGGAGGAGCACGGGTGATGACAGTCTGCAGGCCTGCCAGTTTGACCCTAGCATACGGAAGCCCATTTGGCACACAGACGGCACGTACCGGCCGCGACCGCCCACCGGATCCATGCTGTGCTGTGGCCAAAGGGTTTCGGGTTTTTGCACTATGCAGCAGGGGTCGCAATGCACCCTGCAGGTTTGTGAGTACAGCTCGGCATCACAACAGCCACGTTGGCATACCGACGCCACGTTTCGATGTCGTCCACCAACAGGATCTCTTTTGTATTTCGGAAGGAATCGGTTAGCCAGAAAGAGCTACAGTCTTCATTGTTCGGCTGGGGGATCTTGGCCACACTTTGCGTATCATCTCAGGTACAGCATCGAGGTGCCTCCCAGCGGCGGAGACACGTGCTTTGCAGATGCTGCTACCGCCTTCGAACGGCTGCCATTGGAAGCCAGAAGCAGGCAGTAGAGGGAGTGCATAGAATAGAGTGTAGGTGAGGCACGTGTGTTTGTGATGTCGGCTCAGGTTGGAGAGCCTGGAGGCCGTTTGCAGCCAGGCTGGGCCAGGGACGCCCCACACGCCAGGCGCACACTCCTCGTCTTCACCCTGGAAGGCGCACCACGATGCCCTCCACAATGCCAGGAAGCCCGGCACGTATGCGACCATGGAGGAGGCCAGCCAGGGTGTTGGAATATGTAGAGGCCGGGATTGGGTCATAGGATCGACAAGTGTGAACAACATCAGAAGAAGTGGACCTCGAGTTGAGGTAGGTAAAATACCGCCTTAGGGTGCAAGCCATGTCCAGAAGTTGCATGAAGTTGCGAGGAGCAGAGGCGGCAGACCCCGCTGATGGCTGTGCCGCTGGTGATGACACACCCGGTCACGGGGCGGAAGTCGCTGTACGGACTGTTTGGGAGCTTTCATGACTGGAGCCTCCACGGTTCCACGAGGCACCAAGATGCCCTGGCAGGAGCCAACAGCAGTGTGTTCTATGTGCAGCGACGAGGTGCTGATGGGCCTTCCGCATCTCTGCTGGAGAGGGCAGAGGGTGCGGAGGCCGGACAAAAGTCAAGCAGCTTCTCTTACATAGTGGTTCCTGCCGGCTGCTAGATTCTGCTAGATGCCAGGCATACGAGGATCCTTCTGTTGATGAGCTCCGGAAGTGGTTACCCCATGCCACAGGACCTTCGGAGCAGTTTGTCGCGGGATTGCTCCACGCGGTCACGGGTTTGATTTGGTGCCAGAGCTGCCCTGGAGGACCCGAGTTTGTGGTGAGATGGCGCTGGCAACCCGGAGACCTGGTGATTTGGGACAACCGCAGCACGATGCACTGTGCGACAGGCAAATCCCAGATCTTGCGACGTGTTGTGAAGAAGGTCCCATGCAGCGCAGCACACGTCATGCGTCTGCGTGAGGCTTTGACCATGAGCATTGCACCCGACAGCTGTGGCGAACGACCTTTCACGACATGTCTTGGGACCCGCCAGTGAGGCGGCTTGCTCGAGACCCTGCAAGCTGACAGAAAATCGAGGGCTCTCACGTGCAACTGTAGCTTTTGGCCGGCAGAATCGGTCCCCTGCTTCTGTCTCTTCGCCCGAGGTCCAACGGCTCCTTGTTAGAGGAGCCTTGATTCCTTTGGCAGTTTGTTTTGTTCCTTTTCGGCCGGAGAAAGAGATCGCGAGATCGCGGTCCAGGAGGGGATGCTACGCATGGGCTTCGGCTCGCAGCCATCTCCGCTGATGTCACTGGGCTCAAACTGGAAGCTCAGTACTTGCAGGTAGCCCGGTTTCAGTATGGAAGCATCTGTGATCCGCTTATGCCAAGGTCTGTCCACGCGAACTCCATTTCGCTGTCCCTGATGCCGAAGGTTCCCTGCTTATCGACATGTCCTGTGTTCTTGTGCCAAGAACATCCCAGAACTACACTACTAGCTTGCTGCCCTTCAAGTTCGAGCCCTCAACCTCGAGACCCTTTCAATCTGATGCCTGCAAGCTGAGAGCCAGGACCTACAGCGTGGTTTTGGGCCTTTGCAGGCTGGGTACCGATATCTGCCAGGCTTTCCACGGCAAGGGAGAAGAATCCACCAGTAGCTTAAGATGGACTAGCTTCGGGACAGCTCAGCGAATCTTTGAATGGCACCTGCATCTTCCTCGCTTCCCGCCCCCTCTCTTTCCTTCGCAGTCCCAGCTGCTCTTTGCGGGTCTGGAGCTGGGCGGGGCCGGCAGGCGCCAAGGGCCCCTTGGGGCCCTCTGCACCAGATTCTGTGCCTATCTGTCACCTTTTAGAGTCACCTGTAGGAGACGCGCAAGCAAGCTTAAGCTTCGTGTGTGAGTTTGCCAGAGAGCGCAGCGTCTTTTCGCGTTTCGAGCTGCGCATTAGCAAGACGCCGTCGTGCTGCACCTGTAGTTCTTGCTTCTCACATTCTCTTGACAACATAACAACACAGGCTGAGCTAAGAATCGTACAAAATCTTTTTTTCCACAGACATACTTATGAAGAATGCGCCGGACTTTGCACTTCAAACCCAAAGGGCTGCATGCGAGTCTAGCCCACGGTTCGATTGAATGCCGCGATGGTGAGAATCTTGCTGTGCGGCGATGTCCGCGGCGATCTGCCCAAGGTGTGTCGCTCGCCTTGGTCATGTCTACTAAGATCGCCCCATTCCATGTTTAAGGCAAGCAGGAGATGTTGACCCATGCGCGCAGCTGAGGCAAATGCGTGGACGGTTTGCAGCGAAAGCTCCCCGAGGTGGGCTGTGCCAAGTATTCGGCTGTGCTAAGTATTCGGGCTCTGTCTCAACTTAGTGCCTGGCAAGTGCCTGACCCTTCTGGCGTGCTCGTGCCCTTGGCCTTGACTGAATGAGCGGCCAACAGAACTTACATTTAAAGGTCGATGAATTCAAGGTTTAACCTCTGCTTCACCCACTATGCTTGTCCACGTATGATTTTGAGGGTTTTGGTACCCAGCCCTCCTGCCTGCCGGCGTTTACGTGTGCTGGCGTTGAGGCTGTCTTGCATGCCTGACACCGCTCTATTGCGGCTTGGTTCTTTGGTTCGTTTTCAGGCCGTTTCACAGGGAACAAGGCTTGGTGCAGAGTGGGGGCAGATCTCGGTGATCCCAAGTTGGACCTTTGAACGTCTTGATATGTTTTGCTCGTTTTGGGCTCCAACGCCATGGAAGAAGTAAGATCGCTGCAATGCTAAGCTGCATGCCGACTATGCGGTTGTACTGAGACTTTTGCAGAAATGGATGGCTATCGCTTTTTAGGCTCCAGGTCCTGAGGCAGAGCCATTACTCATTTTAGGGTTTAAGCCTCGGCAGCTGTCACACTTACACTCCTGGTTTGGAGTTGCAGTTTGAACCCTTTCCCAGCCTATCCCCCCTTTTAAGGCATCGGTCCTCTTGCAACTCCCCACTTCCCACCAAAAAACAAAGAGACTGTCATCTGGGAGGGTGGGAAAACGCGAGGGCAAGGAAACCCAAAATTCATTTTTGGTCATCCGGAGTCTTTGCATTCTCCACAGGTCTCAGGTCTTTGGTGCTAGGAGCATCGGAGGGTGACAAGGCCCAAGCAAGCATTGGTAGCGACATGCAGCAATTAAGCTTCCAGGTGTTTGGTTCTTTCGCAGATCTCCACCCTTGCCTGAACCCTTCCAGCCTTTCTACAGGTTTGCCAGCAGCAATCGTTTGCACAGGGGGCTAAGTGTTTTTTGCAGCAGGAGCAGCGTTTTCGTGCCGTCTTCTGCGTGGGTGAGTTCAGTGCCGAGGACTGGCAGCATTGCCTTACACGCAGACTTGCCTTTGACTAGTTTGCTTATCATGTGTGTCGAGGAGATGAACCTGGATGTTGAGGAGCGGCTCGGCGGATGCCTATTACTGCCTCATTTACGTGAACATGAGCGCACTTCCAATGCATGCTTCCGCGGGGCTGAGCTCTGTGCTCTGAGGAAGCCGACTGTGCCGATCTACTTCATCGATTGTGGTCCCGCTTGCCAGGTGGGAGGTTTCTGAAGGATCCAGTGCCTCTTTGTCCGCGGTGGTGCACACTTCTGTCATGCGTTTCTCCCAGGATTTGATCGATGAGTCGCCTCAAGGTCTTGACGGCATGCTTCTTAAGGTCAAGACTGCACCTCTGCGGGTCACTTCAGTCCATTGCAGATTTGACCAAGTGCAAAAAATGCGAATGCCAGGTGACGAGGTGGCACCCAATGTCCACTTCCTGGGCCACTATGGCGTGACTTCTGTGGCTGGACTCAAGGCGCCAGCGTTGATGACTGCTTATTTGCCCTCTGGGGCAAATGCAAAGCGTTTACTCCGTTGTGATTGGATGTGTGCCGTTGGCTGCCGTTGCATCTTGAGATCCCAAGAGGGTGCTGAGGCTTTAGGGTCGTCCACGGTGAAGTTCTGAAGCGAACCTTGACCATGTTGCCTGCTGCGCACTCGCAGCCTCAGCTCGACATGCATACGCATCATGGATTCAGTCGCAATATGTGGTCTCTAAGAGGCTCTTTCCGCAATTGGCAACAGCGCCATCAACCCAGTGCGGCACTTTGGCTCCGTCTGCCATGGCGCTGAACGTTGTTTGCGCATGGCTGCGGAACGATCTTCGAGTTCACGACTCGCCAGTACGACGCACAGCATATCGCAGCAGTTCCCTCGTGACAAGCGCAAGTAGAGACGATTGCAGAGGTGGCTCAGTCATGTCCGTGAAGCGCATTCCTGCCAGCTTGCCTTGCGTGATGCGTGAATTTCAGGTCTTGAGCCGTGCTGCGCAGCTGTCTCGAGAGCAGAAGCTTCCTGTGCTTCCAGTTGCTTGGCACACTTCTGGCCAGCGTCGTCCGGGTCGCAATGCAACAGCCGTCGCAGAGAGGAGCCAAAACGACTGTCGTGGCTTTCCGCGTCCTGTCAAGTTTGCAATTAGAAGCTGCCGTGCCCAGGTATACCTCTTTGATCCTCGGCAGTTTCGGGAGACGAAGTTCGGCACCTTGAAGACAGGAGCCTTCCGAGTGTCCTGGCATGTCCTGGTAAAGATGACTGTCTGAGAACCTGTGATGTAGATACTGAATCTAGTGAAGCATGATGTGATGTTGTTAATATGCAAGAATCATGTTTTTCCTTTGTGCACTTCGCTGTCCCAGGCGCTCTTTCTCCTGCAGTCCGTGCGTGTTCTGAAGCGCAGGCTTCGCTCTCTGGGCTCCTCGCCCAAACAGTCGGCTATGGTGCGCAAAAGGTGTGGTCAGAAAAACCCTACCCCAGACCCTAAACCCTAAACCGCGAGCTTAGCCGAGGCTCCGACCTCTTAGTCAAAGTCGGCAAGCCGGAGGCAAGCTGAGGATGTTGCATGTCGCAGACTGCGTATTGGAGATTCCGTACAAAAGGCTGCTAGGGCTAAGGCAAGCGCCTTGGGTGTCTCAGGACGTCCTGCCATCTCTTCTGGACAAGAAGTCCGTGATTCTGACACAGGCGCGCGAGAAGCCTCCTTCACCCAGCCGCTTAGGTGATTAGCTTGCATCCCTCAGCATCATGACCGCAGCTTTCAGATTTCATGTGAGAGCCAGGAAGAGGTGACCTCAGAGGAACGTTCGGTGGACAAAGCGCTTCGACGTGAGCTGGCTGCCAAGGGCTGCGAGGCGGGGGTCTGCGGGTCTCCATCCTCTTGCTAGGGGATTCGTCTTCTCGCCGCCTACATGGCCTGGCATGCACCCTCTAGCGGCTGGCTGATGCGTTTCTCGACACTTGCAGGCATGGGAGTACTGCTGGGGGAGCACGCTTTTTCACCGTGACGATTTGCCGTTTCGGCAGGCAACCGCTGTTGGCCGCTCTTGTGTCACTTGTGTTACATCCTGAGAGAGTCGGCTCACGATTTCAGGACCTCAGCAACGCCCCGGATGTGTTTACATCCTTCAAGAACCAGGCCAGATTTTTGCGAAGTCCTCTCTGCTGAGCTGAACAGATGCTTACGCTCGGCCGCCTATCCCTTAAGGTCGAGCCGGAAATGGCAGCCCGGGTGAACGAGGCTCGTCGGACTGCAGGGAGATTCAGTATTGGAGAGGTCCTCAGCCACAAGAGGAAAGATCTCGCTTTCCAAGTCGGCCAAGCGCTCACAAAGCAAGCATTCCTAGCACGTCACTTTTGACGGGACAGGTGCCGACTTCGTTCCAGGACAAGAGGAAAGACAAGAGCCACATGGGTGTGAGGTGGGGGTGGTGTGGAATCAAGAACAGCCAGACCACGATGAAGTAGTACGAAGCCTTACGTATGTATATGTATATCTAACAGTATAGGGAGTCTGCAACATGGATAAGACGTGTACAGGGATTTACCTTTATACATATGTACATATACACACATAGACGGTGCCCCCCCATGGATCCACCTTTCTGGTCTCAAGTACGCAGAGCTGGTCTTCAAGGGCCGTGGGTTGGGAGAAAAAGTTCATGGAAGCCTTGGGAAGATGAACAGAGAAACAACCACTAATCGAATCAAATCGAACAAGCCTAACCGAAATAATCTAAGCGCCAAGACCTAACAGAGAAACAGAAGACAAGCGAGATCCTGGAACTCTTGCAGTGGGAGGCATGTGACAAGACTCTTGTATTTTTCGGTTAGGTTTTTACGGTGATTGTTCGGATGTTTTTTCAGTTAGGATCGTAGGGTAAGCGTTTTCTTTATGAAGCTTGCGAAGGCTTCCCGAAGGCCTACACCCAAACCCAGGGCCCCCGAGTGTCTTATTTCTAGTCTATTCTTTATTCAGTTTTTTTGGGGAACTAAACGAAAATTTGACTGCTCGTGTGCTTAAACCGTTTGATCAGTATGTAAGACATTCCAAATTGGAGTAGCAAATAACTAAGTTTTCAATCAACATGTAGTCAGCATTTCAATATCAAAGATTACTAACTACTGCAGTACTATTGCACATGCAAGAGTCGGTTGATTTTTTTTTGATTTTCAGCATTGGGCTATACGGCTCTGTCCACTTAATGGTTTGACAAGAACGGGACACGTAGATCAGCATTGGACCAGCCTTAACACTCGCTCACATTCGGACATACACCTATATATATATATATTTTATGTACACAGACGTATCTATCTATATATATATATATATTGGTATGAGCATACTGTTCATAGATGTTTGCACCTTAAGCGTTAATGTAACCAATATGGCATGGGTGTTCAGTGCATAATCAGACATCTGTATCAGATGATTAACAAACTAGTCATTATATGCTATAGTTCAATCAGAACCAATTAAAGCTAAGATGCTCTAGATTGTAGCACGTGTTTGTTTCTCACTTGGTTTTAAGTTAGACACTATACATTAACATGTCAACAATTTTCGAACACGCCTCATTCCAGCGTCTGTTGAAGATTGCATGTTCATGAATATAGTCCTATGAGACAAAGCATTATCGTGGAAATGTTCCACGCATGTAGATCCAATAACAAGGTAGCTGTTGCGTCTGCCGCCGCAGAGGGTCTGTCGTTTGTTTGTTGGTTTTTTGTCAAGGGCCTGAAAACCTCGAGTTGGTGTGGGTTTCGTGAAGAAGAGGACGTTTTGCCCTGGGTTTTTCAATGTTTTTTATAGCTTTGTCTAGTGTGATATTTTTGTACAAAGCGTCGTAACTACCGTGGTTATCGTTGTTTTTTTGCTTGAGTCTTGCGTCAGTTTTATAAGTTTCTGTTTTGAAGGAGCAACGTTGTCGCTGTCATAGTTATCGTCCTAGTTATCGTCATTGCAATCGGTATCCTCTGCATGAACAAACAACAACATCACCACCATCATCATCATCATCATCATCATCATCGTCATCGTCATCATCATCATCATCATACTTACCAGCATCGTCGTAATCAGGAGCATCAACACAATGAACATCAGCATCAGCATGCTTTAGGAATACAGCTTTGAATCCGGAGCTGGCTGGGTTCTTGGTAAAAGCAATGAAAGCTACGGTATTTACGACCATTCCGCAAAACCACACCCGCACGGAGCAAAGCAAGAAACACGAGATGCAAGCCGCGCGCATGGACGTTATCACCCCCCCCCATCCTTGCACGGAAGCAAAAAGACAAACAGACACAGCAAGCTCAAACAAGAAATCAGTCGACTTGCAAGCAAAAAACAGAAATGGAGAAGCAAGGGATGACTGCAAATACCCATAGAAATCCAAACTACCATGTGCGAAAAGTCGCGCTTTGGCACACGGCAGCCGTGAAATCGAACCTGGCTTTTTTTCGCAGGAAAACACAGTACAAACCGGTACGAAATGCAAAGCGCAGTTTTTTGTCTAGACGGCCATGTGCCAAAACTCGAGTTTTCAACACATTGCAGCCCCGAAATCGCTCCACGCTCTGCGGCGGCAGACGCGACAGCTGCCAATAACAACAGCACATTAGTTCTCACAGAAGCAAAAACACATGTATCGTGATTATTATTTGAACATCTAGCAACTCATACATATGTGTGTGTGACATGAGTACCCAGAAAGCAAAATTTAAGCATGAGGCTAAACACTATGAACTATTCAACCCATATTGACCTACTATTGACTGCATATTCAACACATGTAACTTCTGATCGACTGCGAGATAGCAGGTATTGCACTGGTAACTTTTGCATTCGTGCCTCAGAGGAAATGCTGTCACTGCACGTATGTGAGGCTTTGTATGTCTTCTCGAAACACATTCTTGCTCCGCGTCCTTATGCATGCTTAAGCCTGCATTGGCCAGGAGCAGGCTGCGTGGTAGGTCCATTGGGACAAAAATCTGGGGGGGGATATATGTACATATATATATATACACACACACACACATTTTGTGTATGCATGCATGCATGTATGTAGGTAAGTGTGTGTATATATATATACACATGTATTTGTACATTATGGTTGATTGAGAGAGAGGCCCTGCCTGCCGGACCTTACGCCGGGAGCGCTGCCACTGCCGGAAGCCGGAGCTGGACTCGACTTTGATATGGTCTTCGAGCCCGAGTGGGAGGACGGCTGGTGATAGTCGCAATCAAAGTTGAAAAGTGGGATTATGATTAGCGAGAAACACTAAGAACCATGGCGATCATAGCGATACTGCCTGGACCCTAGAGTCCCAAAGTGGTGCCCGAGGACTTACCCTTCGAGAAACCGGTGGAGGAGCCTGAAGTGCCAGAGGCTGCGGCCCACCAATTTGAAGGCCTTGTTGCCTTTTCGCCCGGTATCTGGGCGGACATGCTCCATGCTCTGCCGTTTTGTCAGCTGCCATGTTTGGCTGTTACTGGCCCTGAGAGGTGGTGAGATCGCAGCCCTCGGCAGGCTGCAGTACTACCTGTTCCCAAGATGCACTGTGACAAGCTTCAAGACTTGTACCTGCCAGTATGCACAACACAAAGCAAATGACCTAACTGTGTTGCGATCAAGAAGTGTATGGACTTTCAACACTAGATTCAACATCGTGGTCTTTGTTTAAGGATGCGTGAACCATGCATAGGGCATGTTCTTGAAGCTATCATAAGCTATCTGTCCAGCTTCTCCCTGCATGTTTCGTGTTGTCTTGTAGAACACACTTCACACCTCTGGCATGAGAGTGATGTGATCCGCGACAGTGCAGGCGGCATGAGGGCCATGGGCATAGAGCGTGAGAACACTTCAAGCAGCGAGAAGACAAAGTAAGTAATAGGAACTGATGCGACACATTTTCGCATGTCTTTTTGCTGCAAGTCCGGTAATCACATCAGTTGTGTGCGTTCCTGCAAGTCGAACCCAAGTTGGAGTGAAGATGCCGAGTAGTCTACCTGAGCCAAGTTTGGTTCAGGTCACCGAAGGTAAAAGATCCAGCTTGATGTGTCAACTTGGGAAGTCTGTGTATCGTCATGGCCCGAAAATTTCCTACATAGCCGTTTGTAGTGGGTTCGCTCAGAAAAAGTTTTGGCATTCGCAAACCTGCAGCCAGGTTTGAGACAGACCTGGTGGCCAACTACTTTGAGACACGAAACGGTATGCTCGGCTCAGCCACCTGCCCGACATCATTGCTTCATGTTGCCTTCACCTGCTTGACCTCAAGCTGTGTGTGCGCAGTCAAAGACATGAATCGGGCCCTGATGTGTCTGCAATGCGATTTCACTTGAGTGGAATCTCGGAGCTCTGCCGGACTCTTAAAGTCCAGTTCCAAGGATTACTCCACGAAGTTTGCTCCCTGGTTGGCCTTTGGCTGTCTGTCACCTCGGAAGATCTTCGAGCAAATCCGCGAGTACGAGAAAGAGAAAGTTGTGGCTCGAGCTTGATCTTCATCCTCCGTTGCCGCAGCTTGTGAGGGCAGCAGCATCCCCAGGATTGTAGGCTTTGGCAGTTCAAGATCTTTATAATTCTTTATACACAGTGTGTAAACACAGACTGTCCTAGTGCCTTCAATGGGCCTGTTTCTCATCGTTTCTGTGGTGTGATGGAGCATGTTGCCCATTCTGTAAGGCAAACAAATCCACGTATTGGGTGCTCTTCGAATTGCTCCATGGCGCGGCTTTAGTTCGGTCGTGGCAAAAAAGCTCGTCTCGCGTTGCTCGTTCATGTGCATCGGTCCTGCCAGAGGGCGAGCCTAGGATGTGGCGCGACTTCTTCCGCTTCTTTGCTGCAAAGCACGGCAGCTTGGCAAACTTTGATTGCCATGTTCCCGACAATGGTACGTGCCATGGGTGCATGTATTTGGGTCAGTTCGACCGCGGAAAGGTTTGTGTTTCCCTTGTGAGAGTGCATCGTTGGGTTTTGTCAAACGCATGCCAAGGCAATAAGATTTTCAAGCTGTACGGTGTTTCGGGTGGAGACTGGGCAGCTTGGCTTCAGTCTTACATGTACGTCGTGCAGCAATCCGGGGCAAAGGAGTGGCAATCTGATGCCAAGCTTTTCCAACTCTGGGCCCACGGAATGACCGGCTATCCCCTTATCGATGCCAACATGCGAGAGCTCCGTGGTCCGGCAGAGAAGCATCCTACTCGTAGCAGGTGTTGTGGTGCGAGCTTGGCGACCATCAGTCCATTCCCTTGGCATTTCCTAGGTGCCACCGGATTCATGTCGAATCGTGGGAGGCAAAATGTTGCTTCCTTCCTTGCGCTCGACATGAAGATCGACTGGCACCCAAGCTGATGTTGCCGGAAGCATCGTTCGGTACCGTTGTGGCCTCCGCGGTCCAAGGCGCATGGGCGCCGATTGGTTCGAAAGCTACCTCGTGGATTATGATGTCGCGTCCAACTGGGGACCGGCCACTGCGTGTAGCCGAGAGCAGAGGCTGTTGAAAAGTAAAGAGAGAGAAGTGAAGGGAGCTCGAGGCAGATCCCGGAGTTCCGAATGGACACGAGCGCGTCCTGCGCAGGAAATTGGGTTCATGCAGCGGGCATGACGACTGGACGCATCAACCGATTCAATGCCTTTCGGAAGTAATCTTGGTGTGCAGGCAACTGCTTGGTAGGAAAGTGTTTGCCACATCCTTGTCTTTGAATTCCATGTTTGCCGAGGTCATTCGGCAGTCAAAGATGTATGATAAGGACACCCGGCCGATGGCAAGAAACCGCCCATTCCGTGTCGCAGTACAGCTGTGATGATCATGTAGTGACTTGTAGTGGCTGCACTAAAGGACGGCCGTTACATCAGGCACTGGGTTCCCGAGCTCCGTGAGCCACTCAGCCACCTCTGCTGAGGATGCTGAGGTCGGGTCTGTACCCCTGCTGTACCCGGCTTCGGCTTTCTCTAAGGAAGCATGCCTGTGAGATACATCCACGAGCCTTGGACGCTGTCGCCGGACGCGCTCCGGCTTCAATTGGGTTCGGGTAGGAGGCGGAGATTCAAGAAGGGACTCAGACCTCGTCTTCTTGGAGCTCAGGAGAAGCTGCAATTTGGTGCGGAGAGCCGCTCCGTTGCAGGGCGCCTCGTTCTTGCCTTCTTCTGTCCGTCGTGCGGGGATGCCAAGGTTATCCAGCACCGTGCTTGGACCCAGCTAGCTTCCGCGAAGAGGGTGGTGGTAAAGGCAAAGGTCGCAAGAGGACTGGACAAAGCGCAGTGTGAGGAAGTTTGCAGGGGTGGAGTTCGTGCTTAGTGGTTGGCCGTGTTTGATCTGCTCTGGGCTCGATGGTACTTCGGACACAGCAGGAGCAAAGGCGGACGTCGGCGTCGTTGAAGTCGTCATGCATCTGAAGAAAATTGATATAGGGCAGATCTGTGCAAGGTTGAATTCCAAAACGGATGCTTCAGGATCAGCGTGCAAATCTTGACTGGATCTGCTTTTTGACTCCAAGAGTGCCCAAAGAAGGCTCCTGGACGTCCACTGTTCCTGCTGAGTAGCAGTAAACCATAGTACACCGGCCCAGCAAAAATAATTTTCAGCTTCACAACTCGGAGACCGTTTTTTCTAGGGACGGCGCCGTCCTTAAAGCAGACTTTCCTGGAATACCAGCTTTTTCAGTTTCGAGCTGTTAAAGCCGAAACTCTTTGCATGCGATTTGCCGCAATTGTGAGGAAAATCTGCATGCTACACCGCTGGTGCACCACCCTCCCCAATTCTTTCCAGTGCAACGCTGTGCCAGCTGGCAGAGCACTCTGTCAGGTCGCCTACTTGTCTGGGAGATTAAAGGCCGAGCTCTTCGAGGAGCAGGCAAGGAATGGGTCTCCGATGTCCTTATGTGCCCGAAGCCTTCTGAGAGGCTCTTACCGCCACAGGTTTGACCAGCGAAAACATTAACGTTCACTGTTCGTGCCGTTCGAGTTCCTGGGTCGATGAACATGTGTTAGATTCTGCTGATGCATTTGAGAACAGTGGCTGTGCGGCAGGATGACAATTATGACGAAGATGGCGGCGCAGCACTCGGCATCTTGTTTTCGCGGTGGGATGTTGTGTTAGTTAATTGGGATGTCTTTCTGGACAAAATATTGGCGGGCGAGGCCAGACGTTACCCCAAGCTGATGACCTGAAGTCCAAGTATGCCGCGCAGGCCCCACGCAGACGGAGACGCCTCCGCTTCAGGGCTTCGGTGCACTTGCGGTTCAGAGCTCTTTTGTCCCGATCGAAGGAGGGGGATCGTGGGCTCTTCGCTGGGGCGCCGCTGGCCTTGGAGACGGAACCCACCTCATCCACGGCCACGGCCAGGCTAAGTGTTTTCGATTCTGGAGTGCTGTGGCATGCAGTTCGGAGACAGGCCACGTGTATACCACTGGGTTACTACTGTAGGAAGACGCGGAAAAAGCGCCTCAACTCGGCTTTTCCTCCAACAGTCCTCGTTTTTCTCAGTCGGAGCTCTTCTGGGCCATCCTGGGAGGAGCTCAAGGCCAGGATCCGAAGCAAGAGTTGAGTCAGGAGTTCAGGAATGATCAGGAATTCAAGGAGTCGGGTTTGGACGGGGATTGAGAGCCTGAGCAGTGATGATGCAGGTTGCTGGCCTCTCGGAAGCAGGAAGCAGAATCCCAAGCAAAGGCCAAGGAGAAGAAGAAAGAGTTCATGCAAACACAGCTGCGTTGGACTTAGATGCTGTGTGAGACACGCAGTGGAGTAGAGAGGTTCAGCAATTTAGCTTTCAACATTTCGGATGCTGATGTGATTCTCTGCGTTGAAATCATCCCTAAGTATTGCATGACCTTGCACCGGACCGAAGGTTTCTAGATGGCCGCTACACGCCCTTGGCCGTGGAGCGTCTCTGCGAGGAGATCGGAGACAGCGGAGGTGCCAGACGTAGGGCAGTGGCAAGTCGGCCATAGTCTTCTGTTTCAGCACCTGTTCCGACAGATGTCTCGGCCCCTTCTTGCAGGTGTAGACATCTTGCTGACCTCCGAGTGGCCGAAGGTGGGAGATGAAAGCTTGCATGCAGTCTTGAGGAATTCAGGGCGGAGTTGTTTTTTGCGCTCAATAGGTTGAGACTGGGTCATCCCCTCGGATAGTCACATAGGTACAACGGTCCACTCACCAACGTCATCAAGCCTCTACCGGGTATGATAGTATTGACTCACGCATTAAATTTCGCCAAATTCGGGAAAGTCACGGTCAAAGCCCCGTTGGGCTGTATCTTGGACAGATCCGCTGTTTCCAAAAGTGTTGGTTCTTGGGGCGGCCGCAACTACATGCATCGTAGGAATCGAACTCTGATTGGAAACAGGGTGCCAGTTGTCTGGCCTACCGATACCCTAGCGATACCACAACAGATGCCCAACCTGCACGTCTTGAAGCCATGCCCCCTTCAGCCCCAAACCTGCAAGCTCCCCAACATCACAGTCCATTGAAATCCTTCGAGCTCAACGCTTGGGCGGGGATCGAAGGGTTCGGGCCTCCATGGTCTCCGGGCTTTTTGGGGCCTGAAGGAAGGTTCTCGGGCCTCGGTTTTAAAAGTCTGAGTCAAAGCATCTCCGTCAAGCTGGCAGGTTGCACGCGCAATTCCCCGTTCTGAACCGTCCTGAATCTTCTGAGCATGACTGCAGTCAGCTGCTTGCGGGACCTCTCATGAGCAGCTGCAGCCTGCCAGGGAATCCTGGGGGGCTTGAAGGATGCATGGCCAGAAGAGGCGGCGCCTTTCAGAGCTCTGCTTGCCGGGTTGTGTGAGTAGCCTTTCGGACCTTCCTGCGACTGAGGAGGGACCCGAACATTAGGCCTCTTATACTCGTAGAGGTGGTGAGTCATCTTGCCTAGTCAAGCGCCGGGCCGTGCAGAATGGAGAACATGCTACTACTACTCGCCCTTGGCGATACTAGCCTCAACACCAGGACCAAGATTAGTTGCAAGTTAATGAAGTAGGTAACTTCTGAAACTCACCCGATCTCTGCTTCCGAGTTGGTCTCGACCATGTATTCCCAGTTTGAGCTGCCAGAGTGGGTGCCATGTATGCTCAATTTCGATTTGAGTGGGCTTCGCAGTGTTACCTTGCAGATGCGACAGTCGTGGTCGACATCAATGTCGTAGTCGTAGTCGCGGTGGTGGTAATGGCAGTGGGTGGTACTGGAAGTGGAAGTTGTGGAGTAGTAGTAGTAGTAGTAGTAGTAGTAGTAGTAGTAGTAGTACTAGTACTAGTACTAGTAGTAGCAGTAGTAGTAGTAGTAGTAGAGATCGGAAGAGCGTC